AGAGAGAGAGAGAGAGAGAGAGAGAGAGAGAGAGAGAGAGAGAGAGAGAGAGAGTAGCACCTAGCACTGGCATCTTCCAAAAAACAAGTAAAAAAAAGAATGAAGTAGAAAACCTAAAACCCTTACAATCACCTGAGGATGTTGACAATCCATTCCACTTTGAATTTCGTCAAAAATATTTCTTGAGCACATGCAACCAATACTACAGATTATGAAACTCAAATAAAAAAGCAAAATTAACAATATTATTTTGGGCTTAGTACATTTTAATCGCTGGCCGATGACCGAGCTAAGGCTTGAATTCCCGGCCAGAATCTCACGATTATGTGTCCGGTAACCTAACCACTACACTACAGACCTAGCATAGATCACATAAATATTCACAGAGCACCCGCGTCAACACACACTCCACACTCATATACATGGGCTGTTGGCTGGTACTCTGGTGTGATTTGCTCCTTTTTTCCTATTAAACATTTATGGTCCTGATCTCTCCTTCTTTTCTTTGTATGTTACTCTCTTGTAACGCCTCTAATCTTCAGTAATTATATGACTTATTTATGTTCCAAATGCAGTAAAACTCTTACGAAAACTAAACAAACTCTCATAAAATACTCTAACAACATAGATAACCATCAGTGTTTCCTGATGCTCAAATTTATCATGGGAGACTCTCACCTTGCAAGCTGAGGCCAGGAGTTTGCCGCTGGGGTGTGCTGCCAGAGAGTAGATTTCATAGCCATGACCATACAACTTGGCAACCTCTGGCCACAGCGTGTTTTGCAGCAGTTGGTCCTCGCTAGGGGGAGCTGATGATGTGCATAGCGGAGCAAGGGTGGGGGGAAGTAAGAAAACAAAAAAATAATATTGAAATCACAGCTTGTCTTTAGGTTTGATGTTCATGTGCAACAAAGTATTCACCTTTGCCTTACATTTACCTTACACCATTCAAGCTTTGGAAGGGAGGGACTGCTTTTTTCTTTTCTTTAAAAAAAAATTATCCACCAGAGGGAGAGAGAGAGAGAGAGAGAGAGAGAGAGAGAGAGAGAGAGAGAGAGAGAGAGAGAGAGAGAGGGAGGAAGGGAGGGAGGGAGGGAGAGAGAGAGGGAGAGAGAGGGTGAAAGAGAGAGAGAGAGAGAGAGGGAGGAAGGGAGGGAGGGAGGGAGAGAGAGAGGGAGAGAGAGGGGGAGAGAGAGAGAGAGAGAGAGAGAGAGAAAGAGATTCTTTTCTACAAACTATTGATATTGATAACCATGAAAAATACAGCAGGAGAAAAAAAAAAGAAAAAAAAATTGAAAAAATCTGTAAATATCAAACAGTCAAAATTAAAAAGCTTTTGGAAAATAATTTGCCTTCTTCTTCTTCGCCTTTCGACTGCTGGTTTAACTTGCAGTGCAACTGATTTTTACATATGTGACCATTTGTCCTTTGAAAGGGCAGATTAAATTTTTTTCGTCACTTGGCAAGGTTCAATCAAGGGATTTTTTTTGACTGAGTCCAACACCATACTTCTTTGACCCTGAAACTGTTTTGTGAAATCTAGCAATTGAATTAGAATGTTGGGCAGATGCAAACTAAAGGTCTCTGTCTAAGGGCTAGTCTTGAGTGTGTGTGCGTCTGTGAGTGTGAGCGTGTGTGTGTGTGCGTGTGAGGGAGGTGGAGAGAGAGAGAAAGAGAGAGAGAGAGTGTGTGAGAGAGAGAGAGAGAGAGAGAGAGAGAGAGAGAGAGAGAGAGAGAGAGAGAAAAGACTATTATGCTGTCCACATCAACACCTACCTCAGAAGCCAGTTCTTTTTCTGTGCTGTGACCACAGATCTCACAAAAGTTATTAATGAAGTTTTTCGGGGCTGAGAACAACCGAACCAATTTCTCATCAGCACCAGAGGCAAACGAGTAACGTCCCAGCATAGCCACACACTGGACATCGTAGCCATGAATTTGAGGCCGGGCAATTTCAAACCATGAAGGCTGTGACAAAAAGAAAATAATACCAAGATGCCATGCCCTATCTATTATATAAAAAACGAGACCATGAAAGTAAAGCAAATGTTAAAGGAACAGTGAGTAGAACCAATCTACAACTATAATTTGTATAACACCTTAAAAAAAATGCTTTTAATAAAATTCTTATTTTCACCAAGATATAATGAACTATTTATATCAGCTGTACCCCCAAAGTTTTGGTTTCTAATTTTTTTTTTTACCTTTTAGAGGTGCTCGCAACTGCATAAGGTCATATGAGCGCGCGGGACACACCTAATATTTTCAGTTGGTAGAAAATTTTGAATTTTACCCGGGTGGCGGCCGAAACCTACTCTTATCGATTTTAGACCACCAAGGGATCTTTAATGAGCGCAACTTGCACACGGGCCCTCCGAGATTTTTTGCCCTTGTCCGAGAAGGCTAGGTGTAGATCTCTCCTACCAGAAGATCAGGGGTGTGGCTGAAAGACAGCAGTAAGAAGAAGCGAAGGAGTAGCAGTAGAAAGGCTGCAGAAAGAATCAGGAGCCCAGAGGAAGGGGCAAAGGAGGTGAGGGGGTGGGGGCAGAAAGAGGAGACGAAAGCAGACGACAGAACATTGCTAGAGAGCAGGAAATGAGGTGAAAGGAGACAAATTTAGAGAAGAAAATGTTTAGGTCGCTACCCGGATTCGAACTCGGGACC